CTGAACCACCTTCATCCTGTTGCTGAGATCCTTCTGGAAACCCATTGCAGCTTCCGACCATCCTGGGGCACTGCAGACATGGTTTTCATTGCCAGGCAGATCCAAGAAAAATGTTGGAAGCAAAATCAAAAACTGTTCCTCGCCTTCACTGACTTGACCAAGGCATTCAGTTCTTTAAATCATGAAGCTCTGCGGACCATCCTCCAATGCCTTGCCTGCCTGCTGAAGTTTGTCACTATACTGAGACTTCTGCATGACAATATGACTGCCACCATCCTAAGTGGAAAATCTGAAACCAACACCTTCCGCTTCTGGACCAGGGTCAAGCAAGGTTGCGTTATCGCCCTCACCCTGTTCACCATCTACCTGACTGTCATCATTCACCTTATCCTAATGTGTTTTTGAAAACAGAGATCTTCGGAAGTTGACAAAGGTCCTGGTTTATAAGGCTGTCATGCTGACAACCCTCTCTACTGCAGTGAAGCCTGGACCATCTACTGTTGCCACATCAAGACCCTTGAGAGCTTTCGCCAGCACTGCTTGCATCGAATCCTGGGGATCAAATGGGAAGACCGTCAGACTAGTGCGAGCTTCCTCCACAAAGCTGCATCCACCAGCATCCGAGCCTTGCCCTTGAGAAATCAACTCCAATGGACAGGCCACTGCATCCGGATGTCCAAGAACTGCCTCCCTTACCAGATTCTCTTCTCCCAGCTCTCTGTTGGCCAATGCTCAAAGGGCGGCCAAAGGAAATGGTACAAAGACACACTCAAGGTCACCCTCAAGCACAGACGCACCAACACCAGTGGCTAGGAGGAGCAAAATGCTAACAATTTGGCGTGGTGCCACCTGGTCCACCAAGGCATGCACCACTTAGAGGCCCAACAACTCAATACCGAGGTGAAACGGTGGCAGAGGAAGAAGAAGATCAATGCAGGGCTGCAAATCCTACTCCCCCACACAACAATATGCCCCTATTGCCAAAGAATGTGTGCATACAGAATCAGGCTCCTCAGTCACCTGAGGAGCCATCAAGCCTGACTGACATCCTCTACTCCGAGGGACCGCCACCGCCACCCACACGCACATGCGCATGCACATACTCTATCCATACACAGGCACAGCAAGGCCCCGCCTTGACTCAGGTGGGGCTGGAGGACATGGTGAGCTTGGTGAGAAACCTGGACAGGGGCACAGCATGCATGGCTCTTCAGTGCGGGACCAGGCTAAGCCTTCCCCTCCTGGGGTAGCTGTGCAACCAAGCCTGGTCCCAACCTGCCCTGTGGGTAGCCACCTCCCCAGTCCTGCCATCATCCCCTGGCCTCAGAGGGAGGACCTGGGGCAGAGCAGCAGGGCCAGAGCGGGGCAGGGACAGTCCCAGAAGCAGCTGGATACCTGGTGCCCAGTGCAGAGTAGTGGCATGGAGGAGCTGCCCAGCAAGCAGAAACCCAAACTGCTGCAGGGTGCCAACCTCTGCTCATGGCTTTTCTTCTAGTAAGTGCAAACCCAGGGGGAGGGGCTGGGGAATAAATGCCCCTGGGTCACTGCCTGCCCACTGGGATAATGCAAGTGGCTGCCTCCAGTTGGCAGGGAGCCTGCCTGCCTCTTCCCAGTGCTGGGGTTCAGCTCCTCTTGACCTCTGAGGGTGGAAGAAGCCCTCCAAGGGCCACAGGGTTTGTCTAGCCCAGGAGAGAGGGGGCAGCCCTACTCAGCCCTGCTCCCTACGCTGCAGTGTCTCAGCCTCTGGGCAGGGACAGGGAGGGCAGGAAAGAAGAGAATGCTGACCTCAGAGCTGGTGCACAGGCCCCAAGCTCTGTCTGCTCACTCTGCTCTAGTTTCTTCTCTGTCCTCCTTGTACTCTGCTCTCTGCATGTCCTTTCACAGCATCCAATGATGGGAGCTTCAGCTCAGAAAGGCTGCTGAAAGTTTATGATCTGTCTTTCTCTCTCTCTCTATTTATCTACAGCTATATCTCTCTATCACTCTATGGCTCTATCTCTGTATTGCTCTACTGCTCTATCTATCATTCTCACTGTGTCACTACCATATTTATTGCTCTATTGTTTGCTCTATTGCTCTACCTATCACCTGTTTGATCTGTTGGTCTATCTATCGCTTTGTCACTGTATACACATGCGCACACAGGCTCACCGTAGTGCTCTTCCCCTGCCCCACCCAGAAGGAGCAGTGCCCAGCCCAGTCCCCACCTCCGCCACTGCTCAGCAGGAGCTGGGCTGGGCACCGGCCAGTCTGAACCCCACACCCCTGCCCCCTACCTGCCTCTACCTGCAGAGGTGGATGTCAGGGGTGGAAGGTGCAAAATGCAGGTTTGCCCAGGGCACCATTTTCTATAAGGCTAGCTCTGATTGCCATTACCCAGTTTGACCATGTTTTGCAATTCTCTTGCTCTAGCTCCCCCCTTCTACCCTCCCTCCCAAAGGTATATCAAGACAGTTGTGTCATTTTTATTGCTTTGAGTGTGACTGAACCTGTTTTTGGGTATCAGGAAGAAACCTTCCCCATTGAGCCAAACTGGTGCATGGTCTGGGGTTTTGTTTTGCTGTTCTTGCAGACTCAGGAAGGTGCACTTGGATTAGAGAGGAAAAGGACTTAAAAGGAAGGTCAAAGTGAGACCATGTTTCAACTTGTACTTGATGTTCAGGAGGGTAAAAGCTGAAAAAGCCAGCTCCCAAAGGTAAATGATACCTGTGATTTCACTTGGGAACTCTGTTCTTAAGCAGCATGGGTTAGAAAGATCAGGAGTGAACTGAGAAGGAATAGCCCTAACTTACTGCTTTTGGTTTGGTTAAATAAAAGTTGTATTCCACCACTTAAATTCGTCATTCACCTGCATGAGTTGTTCTTTTCTCTAGAACAGTGATTCCCCATGAGGGTGATGGTGCGCCCTCAGGTGTCTTGGTACTGGGGCCAGATGCAATTTGCAGGGACTGGTACTCCTGTAAAGCCATGGTGGATGCTGGTGGGATACAGAGTGTTCTAGTTAATTAGCTAGATCAAGGGACAGGGGTTAGTGAGAGAGAGCCCACAAAATACTGGTGGAGACTGGCCATGGTGGATGTCAGGAAAGGCACCCTGCATCCAGAACTGTGGACTTAGGGGTCCGGTGGCATGAGCTAGAACTGGGGATCCGGTGCTGCAAGGACCAGAGGCCTGGGGGTATGCAGAAGAGAGACACACACGACATTAGCTGAGGTCAGTTTGAGGGAGAGACACCTGGCTCAGTGTAAAGGGTTTAGAAGATCAGGCCCAGCTGAGGCTACTGCATGATGATCAGTGTGTAATGAGGCATCTAAGGACTCATCACAGTCTCTGAGGACAGCAGCCCTCATTTATATTCATATTCCAACAGGGAATGGCAGGTGTTATTCTGGTAAAACTGGGTGGTACTCCAGTGAGACTGGGCAGGACTAGTATGGCTGCCAGTGTGTCAGGACCCACCCTCTGAGGTGGGTCCTGACACACTGAAGGGTAACTTGAATCTAATGAGGGGTGCCCTGAATATAATGAGGGGTGCCTTAAGTTGAAAAACCTTTAATTGAGAACCAATGTTTAATACAGTACTGGAGGCTTGATAGAGTCCTGCTCAAATCTGTATGGATCCCTAATTTCCAAAGTTCACACAAACCTTTATTTTTTTTACTTTTTGTTTGAAAAAATATCCAAATCATATGTGTTCAGTACAGCTGAGATTCCAGCATAAAGCACTTATAAAGCAATGCACACAATGAATTGCCCTTCACACTCATTATTCATTTAAAACTCTAATTTGTATTATTTTAATCCATACCATTGCTTGCCTCATGATATCAAATTACATACAGCAATATACAAAGGGACAGACCTAAAGACGAGTAGAATTTCTCAACTCTATTTCCTAGTTTCTAAGCACTTTGTTTCTCTTTTTAAAAGAGTTCAAGATAACTATAAGCTTGAAAGTATACAGGTGCCCATCAGTTGCAACATGTTGGGGTATGAGCACTACAATGCTCATAAGTGGCAGTTGTTATATTGAATGTCTTCTATAACCATCAGCAGCCTGTTTTTCTGATATGTATAACAGCTACTCAAGAAACTGCATTGATTGAGTCTGTTATGAAAAAAAAAGTTTTATTTTTGGTTCAAAGAACAACAGAACAATATTACCAACATAGTCTCAATTAACTGAAAGCACAAATAAATTAGTTAGACTCCAATCAAGCTTGCCACAACTTCAAGTTGTGTTTAGCCATGTCTTTATTTGATATCAATGTAACTTAAACCAATATGGGCACCCAGCTGAATGAAATGGACTGCAATCAAGCTACACATGAAATGTACTCAGGTACACTCAGATATCTTCTTTCCAATTATATGCAAGCAAATGTATGTCATACCCAAGGGACTTCAGGTGACTAATTCACTGTTCTACATATCACACAGCTTATTTTGAAGGGCTGTGCTTAACTCTCCCATTCTGATCAGTGTTCTATACAACAAATAGGAACAGATCAACACCAGATTTGCAGAACTAAAAAACAGAATCCCAAACCACCCAAATACAACAGACATTTACCAAGATTCAGCCATGAAGCTTATCACAATCATCTTCATGCCTTAAAGATGATGAAGAAAGCAAAACTCTCCCAAAACTTATGGGCTCCAACAACAAGCCTACAACCCATGGTAATGTCAGCAACCTACCCAATATCCTTCCATTAAGCCTCTTAGTGTGACTAGCACAAGTAAATTTACTGACTGAAGTTGTGATAATATTAGCTCAAAAGGAATTTTGAGAAGTGTATTAGCAAATTAAAGAAATAATAGAAATTGAAATACAACTTCAAAAGTATAGCGCACAGTACCCCTATGCTTCATAACAAATAGATATTTATGAATTTATACACACTCATATGTATGTAATATTCTGACAATAAAGTGGACAACATGATTATATCAAAATACTCTGAAAATGATGAAAGGGCATTATATAATATACATACCACTAAGAACTCCTTTTTGTCCACCATCTCATTGCCATCAGTATCAAACATGTTGAAAGCTATTCTAAAACCTGCATGAGGCTCTGTCAGAAAAAACATATAGCTGTCAATCTTCTGAGGAAAAAAGATAACATTTTAAACTTTATGAACATACACTGCATAGCATGTCAGACCCTCTCTTAGTGTAAATCAGTTTATTTGTGTATATAACCAGAATGCATCATTTGTTTTACTATGAACATTTTCGAAAGAGATCATGACCCAAAGTTCATGTGCCAAGGAGCAAAAGCGAAAATGGAAAATATCCTGGAACACTGGCAGGTGTGGTATTCAGGAGAGGACTGTCAGATTCTGGTGGACAGAAATACCCACCCACATATTGAATTTGTCCTGGAAAACCTTCCCAGGACAAAGTTATTGCTGTTTTATTGTTATTTTTTCTGCCTGGATTCACAATTTTTGAGTCAGATTGACTGTTTTCTTAGCAGGACAAAAAACCCAAACATGTGGCTGCAGGCACTTTATCCTGCTAAAGCAATGGATAAAGTGAGGCAAAAATAACATCTACTAAAGCCCAGAAAGACATGCATCTGATTCTTCATTTCTGACCTGCACATTTTGTTCTTGGCATAATATATGAACAAAGACAATTACACTGCTATCAGAATGCACTTTAATTTAGAGCTGTTTAAATGATCATAAAATGCATATACCAATACACAAATAATTTGATTGGTGTATCTTTTGCTGGAAAAATAGTGAGTTTTTAAAATTAGCTAATAAACCAACACGAAGATTTCTGACATGAAATTATCATCCAAATGTTAATTAACAACGTTTCCTCCCAATTAATAAAAGAAAAATGGCTTCTCCTATTCTAAGGAGTAAGAACTTCCTAAGCACTATAAGAGAAACAATAGACTGACCAAGGTGAAATCCCTGAACAACTTTAGGTGAGAAGTGACAATCCTAAAGACAACTTTATCTTTGTAGAACAGAGTAAATAGGGTGACATTTAAAATAGCCTAAAATTCACTCACTCCTGTCTTTAAAAGCTTTGGCAGCAGCCAAAAGAAATGATACCTTAAGCGATAACAGATAACGATCAGTAAAGGCTAAAAAGCCAGGCTTTATTAGAAGAAGCATTTGTAATAAACTCGTTAAAGTCTAACAGTATTAAAATAAGCAAACAATTTTGTGTCTTGTGAACTACAACAAAAGGTGATATTGGTAACAAATGAAATTTGAGTTGTCACTCACAGGTCAGACCTAATAAAGAAATATTTACAAGATATGATGAAAAGGGAAATAAGGACAGGGCAAGTAACAGGATCTCAAGACCAGGGAAGAACAAAAAGTAGTAAAACCGTGTTCTATTTAGCAGTGAATTACCATGTCAAGAGGCAAATAAAGCATTTCCTGCCCCACCTTTCCCTCTCCCCCACCTCCCCTGGTTCTTGGAACTTCAAAAGCCAGGTTACTGAAATACCTGGGCACACATTCATTTTGTGTGTAACTGACTTTTATTAAAAATTAATATATCATATGAGGATAGAAAGTATTACATGACTTGTAATGAATAGTAAGATGTTCATACCCAAGTGCCAATACAACCATTAGTCAAATGAAGGCTTTGAGAATTATGAATATTGTTTCCTCCGGCTTCTGAATTCAAATATGACATTAGCAGTGCGTGTGTGTGTGTGTACACATATGCGTGCATACATGAGACAGATGTTGAATAAAACCTTCAGAGAATTTCCCAGTAGGGCTTTCTTTGGGGAAAAAAAATCAGGTAATATATTTTTTCAAATGGACTAGCAAAAGTTATGTAGAAAAAAAGATCTTTTGATTAAAGAGATTCTAGACTTTTTATCATTGTACTATTTAGGAAGGTCTTAGGGGTGACAACTAAAACAATCCACACTCATGCTACTTGAAATTAGCAACAATATGATTTGATGATTTAAACCTTTGTCCCAGTACTGGATCCAGGAATGGGGTACAAGAGCTGCGCTGTATATGTCCAGTGGGCGCCAAGCTCAATACCCAGTCAGGGAGGGCTCCTGCTGGAGCTCCACATGAACAGTGACCTCGCCAGTTGATCATGGTGCAGTCTGACTGGAGCCCCTGCTTTCACATGGCTCCAGAGCCCAGAGAATACTGCCACCGTCTGCCCTTTTCCTCCCTTGTGAATTCAGCAGTATGGAAGAGTGTAATGATGGCAGGTTCCAGAGCTATGGAAAAGCAGGGACTCCAGGCAATGAGAGCTCAAGTGCACCACACCCAAAAGGGGTGGGAAGTGCAAATGCATCACTGCATCCTTTGTAGATTTTACAACCATATTTCCACATGCATAAGAGTTATGAAGTAAAAGCAAACAATAGGACCATGTATAACATTCCTGCATTGTCTCTTTAAGCACTGGAAGATTCAAAAACTGGAAGAAAAAATTGAGTTGGCTAGAACTCCAAAGATCATTACATTATTCAGTTTAGTAACAACTTATTTTCTTTATGGGACTAAAGCCCTCTTCTAACTCTGTCATAGTTACAGATAATGATTTTGGCGCATAGCCTTTGCTGTTTAGCTTTTACTTCTAGCAAGTCATTCATACAACTAAACTATTCTGAATTCAGACAAAATACGGATAAAACATTTTCCATTCTATTTTTTAACCTACAGTAAAGAATCTTCTGTTTAGTCAAAGACATTAATATTTTCATGAAAAATGCACATCCAACATTTCAGTAGCCATGCAACATATTCAAGATTCTGAAAAGATCTACAGAGGCAAATGGGGGATACCACGAAGAAAACGATATTCAATTAAGTTATGAAGAATAGTACAAGGAAGATAAAGCCATACAATTTAGTAGCCAACATGCTCTTTTGTCAGAATACTTTGCTTTGTTTCTACTTGAAACACCTACAAGCTAATTCTATATACAGGTTTCCAGACTTGCAGTTAGGAATTTTTCTTTTAAATATTCCAATTAAAAATTAGTGTTGGCTTTGATTTTCAAATTATTGCACATGTTGTCAAATGTCCTATAATACCAAAACCAAAATATTCTGCATTGTTTTAGAAATCCAGAAACTATTATACATAATTTACTTTTGTACAGTTAAAAATTTTGCTTGTTGAAAGACAAAGCAAGTTTTTTTCTTTTAAAATAAAAATTTATGTTAGCCTGACAGATTTTCTAAAATAGTAGTATGGCAGGCATCAAATATGTACTGGGGTCTCCAGTTGTTCAATAAAAGATGGAACAGTACTGTATTTATAATGTATGTACTGCTCTCCATCTTCAATATCCTTAAAAACATTAATAAATTTGCCTAATGATTATGCAGTAATTTTAGAGGACACGCATGTAATGCACTAACTAATATTCAATCCACAGGTCACTTGACTGTATCAACATTTTAAACTCTTTTTCAGTTGAAACATTACAACAGGATTCCAGTTAAGACTACAGGATAAGCCAGTTTAGATTAAAAGAGATTACTGATGTACATTTATCTCCTAAATATCCTTGTGAATGTAGAATACTCTTAATATATAGAAATAAATTCAAAATCTTAAAAATTTGTAAGGATTGTTTTCAAAGTACTTACTTGTTAAGATACATAAGAGAAAAAGATACTCCGTATAAGAAATGACACCTAAAGACAAAAAGAAATAGGGTCATGTCATATCAGAACCCATTTGCTGAACCTGAAATTTATGTTTAGTATATGTATGTATGCATTTAGCTCAGTCAGCCTATTTTTATCAAACTTTTTATACTTACGTAGGGTTCTGCATGGTTTAAAGAAACAATAGGCTTACTGAGATGAATATACACAAAGGAGAGTGGCTTCTTTAAACACAACTTAGTCACATCATTAAGAGTAATGCATATGATGCACTAGACTAAGTTTTTCCCCCCAAAAAGCTCAACTATAAAAGTATCTTGCAGTAGTATGAAAATATTTAGTATTACAACTAAAACAGTGTTTCCTGATGTGTTCTGCTTAATCATGTTTCAAGCTTTTATCTTACTTTTAGCAGACGTTAGTATACATCATGTCTTGTTAGGAATTTTGGTTTTCATAGTTTAACAGAGCGCAGATCTTGGTTTCTAATGGACTTTGTGTACATATATATAGCAATTCTGATGTGAAGTCTATTAATCTCATATTAGGCAAGCTCATAATTTTTTGTTAAATGCAGATTTTTAAAGCCTGGTTAAAAATGGTGGGTAACATTTACAAAAATTAGCTATATAGATTTACAGTATACATTAAGTATTTATTCTAGGCTCTCAGTACTTCTACCATAAATTACAACATAATGCCAAAAATACTGAATTAGTACCTCCTCCTCACCCGAGAAAACTATTAAGGAAGGGTACCATTCAATATCCAGACTCAATAGCTAAATAGCGCAACAAACTTCTTACCGCCAAAACCAGGGTAAATAGATAGCAACATGCCATATAGTTCAGTGATGTATGGCATTCTGTACTCTAGTTTACAGTGGTTTGTCAGGGGAACAATGACTTCCTTTTTAGGTCTACTGGGAAGTCCTCACTGTATTATCTTCAAAGACTGACCATCAAAACTGGCTCCTAGTATCCAAAAGGATAGCTAGGACACTGCCTCAGTATAAGAGATCTCAGCCTATGATGTTGGCCTAATTTCTAAAGGAAAAGATATTTATAGATATTTAAAGGCCTGAAGATGAAGACAGATACCCAACAGAATTTTCTGTTGATTTAAATAAGAGTTAAGTTCACAGGCACTTTTAAAAATTCAACTGCATTTTTTGGTGCCTAAATATCTCAAAAATTTTACACACAGATACTTCACATCTGATCTCAGAATAAACAAGGAATTTGATTAGCTGTAAAAATTAAACTCATAACTCTCTAGAATTTTTTTCCATGATGATCATAGTGCCTATAAAATCCAAAGCTGATAGCAACAATGTCACTCATGTGGGTATTAAAATCACTGAACACTTTTAGTTTTGGCACCTCTGATACTACCAAACCGAGGCACTTCAGAAGCTCATGCAAACATTTAACAGCCCAGCAGCTGGTACTCCAGGACTTTTCCCAACGTAACTGCTTCCTGGAAATCTCACAGAAATAAACTTATTGCAGTTAATTCAGTTTTGCTGAACACTTTCTGCTTTTCACAGTACAGACCTTTGGATGATTTTGGTATCTCTCACCTGTCCTCTTTAGGCTAAATGCAATACCAAATAGCTGTTTGAATCAACTGCACTAAAACAGGTGCAACAATAACAACCATCCAGGCTTTAGTGATGTTTACAAGCCTGGAGGACTTGACAGCAATTAAAGTAATGGAAAAAGATAGGGCAGGGAAGCACCATAGAGACTGACACTAAATTAAATCATGGATAATTGAAAAATTCAGCCATTGTTTTTCACCAAAACAGCATGTAAGATTAGTGTTTTTTTCCATCAGCACCCTAGCCTCTTAAATATTAACTATAGGAAAAACCCATGCATTAAGCATCCCAAGTTATTTTCTTGCTTTGTCCTCTCTTACATACTAGTACAGGAATTACAAGAACCAAGCCATCATCACTGATTTTCCACACACACTTAAAGCATGGCTTCCATAATCATTACACATCAATGTTTTTTAAATCCTGCTGGACACCCAAAAGTGTCCACTACATAGTTATAATCCACATAAAACTATGCTTCATATTCATTAAGGGCTTTCAAGGCAGGTTCCAAACTTAATCTTGTCCGTTTCTTCACTATCCTAAACCACTTATCTAAGAACAGCCCAGAACCTCAGCTTGGCTGTCCTTAGGCACCACCCCCTAAATCTTTCCCAATACAGTGTCATCCAATAGTTCTCCCCAAGTGTCATTTCTACCAAAAAGGCAGTGCTTCTATGATGGGCCTGTGTCCCACTTGCAAACAAAAGAAGAAAAAGATGTCCAACTTATTCTTCCCCCACTTCCCTCACCACAGAGTTTGGAGCACAGAGCTGAGTTAAATAAAAGGCTTGATTGAACAGTCATTTCTTTAGAGCAAGCCACACAACCAAACCCCTCAAAATCCTTAATTATAAACACCTCTCCTCTTCCAGCTTAACCCCATCCTCAATTTCCAGAAGAAAAAAAATGTATTTTTTTTATTCCCTAATGTCCTCCAGACCAGATGTAAGACTTTGGGCCTAACCCTCCACTGTCATTGACAGTGCTACTTTGGGGTAAAATTTGAAAAACTCTCTTTCTGCAAACAAAATTTAATTATTTTCCTAGTACTTGCAATTTAACTTGCAGCTAAATTTATAGTTTCATAGATGTTAGGGGCTAAAAGGGACCTTACAGATCATCCGGTCCTGCCCCAATTTAGTTGTTATTACAATCATGCCTCTTGCTTTATGCCATTTCTATTTCAAATATCAAATTCACTGAAATATGTGCCAAAGGTGTCTAAATATTCCAATTATTAATTTGGTTTGCGTCTACGTGGAAGATCAGCTATGGCTGGAGTGTTGCTGAAGATATATAACCTTGAGTGATGAGTCAATAAATGTAAAAAAAATATTTTAAGAGTTTGTCTGATGCCACCACCTTTGTCATAAAATTAAGGAAGGAAGAATAACTGTCAAGTAGTATGTCTGGAGAAATGAAAAGAGCTATCTAGGAGGCCTTGAAAGCATTCCCTCCTTTTGTTTATACTTGTATATTGTAACCCATGCACAGATAGTTCTGGTTGACTGCCCTGAGTGTTATGGGAGAAAGAGTCTTAAATGGTGATTGAACAGAAAGAAGTGCTAACACTAAAATGATATAGAAGTTACAGAGGTCATTTGAGGGTAAAAGAGTTCAAAAAAGAAAAAAAAGAGACCTGGAGGCCAGATCCTCAGCTGGTGTAGGTTTACATAGTTTAACTGATTTTGATGATGACATAACAAATTAAACCAGCTGCGACTCTGTCCAGCTACATATTTCATATCAAAATACTTATGCTGGAGTGACAGAAACCATTATGATGTAAGTAATGCAGTTATGTGGGATAAAATACTGCACTGGGTCTCAGAAGCCCTGTATTTTACTCCCAACTTTGCCACTGGCCTATAGCTTACTCACCTGTAAAATATGAATAATGAAACTTACCTTCTAAAATATTTTAATATATATTAATTTGCCAACACGTTGCTTTGATTTTCTATCATCCTAATTCCATTAACTTTAGTTGACTATTACTGGCAGAAAACAAGATTTAGATGACAGCAAATCAAGTCCACTAATTTTAGATGAATTTAATTACATAATTCTCACAAGTCACAAATGTAACTATTGGATTTACCTTTTTGGGCACCATATTTCTTCAAATGCACATTTAAAAATAAAATTCTAAAAATTGCTTGTATCTTAAACTTCACTTGGAAAAAAAAAGGAAAGTAAGATTTTAGATGCACTACAGAAGTGTCTTTAGTTGATGTCTTATTCTGTTCTTAAATACAAGTGTCACAAATTTGGTTACATTTTAAATCAAGGACATCTTCTATTCAAAGAATAAAACAGATTTTGAAATAATTCCATAAAGAATTTAAATATTTAGAGAAAGGTGTTTTATCTGGGTAGTTTTTAAGATTCAGTTAGTTGCAAGAAACAGTACACAAGTAGATTGTAGATTTGCATCTTCACCTGACTTGATAGTTTACTATTATTCTATGCACGTCTCTGTAATAGCCCGAAATTCCTAGCTACTTTTCCAATTCTGTTAGTCAGTTCAGTCTGAAGGTCAAGATTCCTGCTGATCGTAGAACCCAAGTAGCAAAAACTATAAACAACACCAAGAGATTAATCTTCCAGAGTGATGTGAGGTATTGGTTCTTTCACCCCTTGGTACAAGATCACAGTCTTTTTGAGACTAATTGCCATCCCAATGACTCAGAAACTTTGCCCAAGAGATTTTTACAGGGAAGATTCACTGTGGGCAACCAAGGCCGCATCATTTGCAAACAGGAAATCTCTCAGAAACTGTTTTTTCACCTTGATTTTCACTCTAAACCTTGCGATGCTGAACAAGCCTCCACCTAGTCTAGTTCTAATATAAATGCCATCATTGCTGTCCTCGAGTACATGAAGAATGTTAAGACGTTAAAAAGCACGGGGGCTAAAACACACCCGTTTTACCTCACTGTTGATGTCAAATATATTTCATTCTGTGTTTCCATACACTACAGTTGCCATGAGGTAAAGAGTGAATGATGTTCAGCAGTTTGGGGGCACAACCCAGTTTCTTCAGAACAGTAAAAAGGTCCTGTCTGTTGACTGTATCAAAGGCCTTTGCCAAATTGATGAAAGCTGTGTATGGTGGTATTCGTTTTTCTCTACACTTTTGCAGTTGCTTGACTGAAAATATCATCTCAATGCTTGGTGTCCTGAGCAAAAACTGCATTGACCTTAGTATAGATTCTTTCACCTACAGACTGCAGGTTAGGGAGCATGATACCGAGTGACAATTTTTCCAACGATGTTCAACAGGGAAATGCCTCTAGTTGTCGCAGTTGCTTTTATCCCCTTTGTTTTTGTATAATTGTATAAACTGAGCATCTCTGACATCTTGCAGTACTTCTTTCTCTTTTCAACAGTGTAGCATAACTTCATACAGCTTCCAAAGTAATTTATTGTTGTTGGCACTTTTATAGATTTTAGCAGGCATGCAGCTGTTGCTGGATGCCTTGGTCCCAGGAATCGATGTAATGGCTTTCTGCAAATCTTATGTAGGCTTGTTATCCAAATCCATCATATCTTTGAACTGTCGTAATCCTTCGAGTTCATTGTGTTTGACTTCAGTCTTATTGAAGTATAGAATTCCACAGTAGCCAATCTGATGCTCAAGTTGTTTTTGTTGATCAGTAATGACACTTTTACTTAAGTCTTTCAACAGAGCTGGGGGTTTTTTTTGACTGGACCAACAGCTCATTTGATGCCTTCATACATTCCACGGCTATCACCTGCATCAGCTGCTTTCTGCATATCATTATAGATTTTCAGCCAAAAGTCTTGGGCACACCTCTAAGCCTACTTTTGCATTTCTCTTTGAGCCTTTCTCAGATTTTCCAGGGCAATGGTGTTGGGAAATTTCTTACAGTTTTAGCTCTGTCATTTTGTTCTCAACCAGTGGTAGAAGGGTGTAAGTGTGCTTTTCAAACCAGTTTTCATTTTTCTTGCATTTTTTTTGCCAAACACTATTATAGTAGCATTGTACATGTTTGTTTTTAAGCTTTCCCAGGATGACTGGTAGTTTTGCTATGGTGGGGCTTTCTGACATTGATTCTGTATGGAGCAGACTAAGGCATGATCAGTGTCACAGTCAGCACTGTGATAAGACCTCATATTTAGTATTGTAAGTAACATGAAAAACAGCAACATTTCTTCAAAGATATGAATGACTCCATCAGGAGTAAACTGCCATCATAAAGAAATTAATCACATTAAAGCTGTAAAAATGACGCTTATTCTCTTTTAATTAAAGGTATTCAAATCTATATTTCTTTTCTGTTGACCATTTTCTGTTAAACGGACCAAATTAAACATGAAACACTAATACAATGCACTTCAAAAACGCTGCTTTTTAAGATCTTATCGTATATTGCTATACTATAGCATCTGTAATCGTGATCAAACATTGCTAAGAGTGAAGGAAATTATTTTATTCTGTAAAATGCAGAAACAACCATGTCCACCCCTTCCCTATTTTTTGGATCAAATAATGCTTCAGTCTAAAAGTAACAAGATGTATTTTAGTGAGACTGTTATTAAATCAGGACCCAATATGCAGGTAAATCCTCATCCCCACCTTTGTCCCTGAGATTACGGAAAAGTTTTGATGATCCTTTCCAAACTGGTGGTGTCTCCATAAGTATCTGATTCAATTCCTGTAAAATAAAATTTTTAAAAATATATATGTAGTCGGTGAAGTCATTATCAGATTAATAGGAAAACTAAGAAATCAAATAATCATACACAAACAACCTAGTCAATGTAACTCAAGTAAGCAGTAGTTGTAAATGGAAAATTTGGATAAGCAAATCCTGCAGATACTTAAGAACACTTATAAACTTGCACACAAGTAGTCCTGGAATTCTCACATGAACAAATCTGCCTATGCAATTAAGTGTTGATAAGACTTTGGGATATTACCCTAGAAATAGCTGAACATTTCAGTTTGTTACAGAATTCATTTACCAAAGCCCATAGCCTAGTGAAACCAAAAAAAAATACCTCAATTTACTCAACTGGCTCACACTATGATCTGTTCTATTTTTACACATTCAATTTTGTCAAAAGAAAAATCAAATCATGTCAACTCTGAAAGAAGAATTTCTACAACTAAGTACTGGAAGAAGCAATATTTTTGCTAGACCTATCTTTGGCCAGATGCATACACAGGAATATGAATATGGCTTATGTGAACCTTCAAAGTACTTAAGCACTGCAATACCTAATTCGTAGATGCCTTGATATCTAATGGAACCTTCAGCTCTGATGGGCACCCAAGCTCTCCCTATCATGCAGAGAGAGAGAGCTAGTTACTCAAGGAATGAATCCACAGAAACCCGATGAACATAAGCTGGCCAAGATTGAAATGTGGAGAAAAGGCTGCCAGCTTGGGGACCTAACCTGACACATGTGGACAAAGCTGAGACTGATAAGAAAGGCTCCTCCTCCCACTCATAATCCTGAGCTGGGAACCCCCTCTTGCAATTAAGCATAAACCCAGTTTATCCCCATATCTGTAAAAATGAAGGATAGAAAACTCTCACCCCAGAGTGGTCAGAGCTACCTTTTTAGACGTGAAAGGCCTAAGTTCAAATTCTTATGATCTGGGGCACAGTTGTAAATCCCCAACTCTACATTCTAAAGGACTGTCTGAATAAAAAAAAAAAAGCCTATTGGTTATTCTTGAATAATCTCTCTCAGTCCCTCCTACCAAAGCTATCACACATTGTATAAATATTTTGATATGCTGTAGATCAGTGACAGATGCCAACTGATTCTACAGTCTTCTGGTTAAAGCACTCAATATAGGTTTGAGGACCAGCTCCAATTCAAATAGATTTATGAAAAGCAGAACAAGTCCAACGAGAGAGAGAAGGACACACCACACAACACCCAACAGCCTGGTATTGAAGCCACTCCTCTGAGATAAAGGACATGAAAGCTCAGGTCTGCCATATCTCAGGCAAGTGCCCAAATCACTGGGACACACACACGTACACATGTCTGTGTGGTCTGCAATTTTTGTCTTAGGTTTGTTCTTCTCATACCTAAAGCATTGGATTCATACTAGTGAGACAGGTTGGGGAATACCTAAATAAGAACAATTCAGGGCCTCTGGTGCTGCAGGTTGACATAAGGCTCTCACCAACTGAGTAGATGTGGGGCAGCACCAGTAGTTATGGAGAGTTTTGCACGATTATGGTCAGAAAAGTGGATGTTTATGGGTCAGGCAGAAGCTTAACACCATTTTAAGGACAACAGTGGTTCCTAAAATATGGTAAAGGTGGTTGAAGAGACAGATAGGCACCTAAGTATCTTTGAGGTTCTCGGCCCAATCAATTATGATATTCCAAGAATTAAAAGTACCAGCTTTTTGGAAAAAATGGGACTTACATAGTTCTTTTAAAAAAGGAAATAAAAAGGATCTAATCTTTCCTCCTTAATATTAAAAGTTTATCAGAATAAAGAACAGGATTCCAATAAATTACAGAGAAATCTAAGGCTGCAAGATTCAGCAGGCCTTTTTAGTTACCTGTTTTGAAAGGGACCTCCATTTTTTACTGCCTGAAATGAGAGAGGAGAATGTTATTAATATATAGCATTTAATGACACATCTTTCTATAGGGTAGTGTCACAGACTGAGTCCAGGATTTATTATGTTTTGCAATCAAAGAATTGTAGTTAACTTGGGAGACAGATTTTTATTTTTGATTGACTCTTTCCGGTCCAAAAGTATTTAATTTTTCCATTTGTTAAATTTTTCAAGAATATTTTCATTAATATATTCAGAAACTTCAGAAAAGCTATGTAAAGATTTTTTCTTACTAAATTTCACATCCTTGAAAGATGATATTTACACACAATAAATTCTACAACAGGGGTCAACAGCCTTTTCACGCTGCCAGTCACAAGGACTCATCTCAGGTCAGAGGTAGGTGGGCAGGCAGGCAGGCAGGCAGATGCTAGGACCCAACTGACACATCTCTCCACAATGGCCTGAGGAGAGCTCCCTTAGCTGCTGCTTCTCGCCATGGCAGTGCAGGGAGAGTGACTACCACCAGAGTCCCATGTCCATGGGCTGGATCCAATGGCTCTGAGGGCTGTGTGTTAGCAATCCCTGCTCTACATATATTCTAATAAAATACTAAATAGGAACACTGAATTTGGATTTCAGTGTCAGAACATTTAGATTATTATTTATAGGAGCAGTACTAGATTCATGGCTAGAAGGGAGATGTGAGTTTCAGTCCTTGCTCCAAGTACCATTTCAACTTTCCAATGAAGCAGGGACCAGAAACCAGGACTCCCCTCTCCAAGGTGAATGGCCTAACCAATGGGCTAGAGAATCATGTTCCTTTTTGTACTACCTGCCAGGACCAAAACTCGTGATTTTTTTCTTTTTTTGTTAATAGCTCAACTTCAGCAGGACAGCTGGAGAATGCTCCAACCCCAGAATAGCCAGCCAATGTGCCTGGCACCGTGGAAGGCAAGATGCAAGTATGAAGCTCTTCAGGCTGAGGAAGTATTTAAGGATTTCAGACACTTACTATAAGGAATTTTGTGCTCACTTACACCTAAATTGGGTTAGAGTCTTCCTTACCTGGGCTGGACTCTGCAATCTTTGGACTGGCTGGCCTCTGTAGTTGTGACTGGATTCGCTGCCTTGGGTGACTGGCTGCTGAGAACTGCTTCCAGAGATCAAGGGCAGCACTTAGCAAAGAGACTGAGACTGGTCAATATATATTCATCCTTCCTCTGGGTGCTCTGCTGGTCTCTCTATTACTGTTGCTCCTGATGCTTGCCAGTTGCTCTGGCTCTTGCTTCAGCCTTTGAGTTACCTCCAGGCTCTAGTCTTTAGACAAACAAGATCCCAGTCTCCAAAGATGGTTCCAGCCCTCCACTTGCCTCCTGCCCCTGGCTTTTGACCACTAATTTTCTGGTCCTGGCCCCTGGCTTGCCTCTTGGACTAAGATCTCAGCTCTGACAAGGAAGCCTGACTGTCCATGTCCCAGTCCCTTCATAATTATGAGGTAAGGCACAGGTTTTAAATGAGCACACTAATGGTAGGAGCCAGAAACAGAGGCCCAGAAGATAAAATGATTCACCCAAAGTCATACAATAGGACAGTGTACAACAGGACAGTGACAGAGCCAGGAATAGAAGCCACATCTCCTGGTTCTCAGTCCAGTGTTCCTTGGATTGCACTGCCTCTCGGGAGAGTTATTGGTAACTTTCCCTTTCTCTCTGAAGATTTTTTTTCCTGCAGGTCCCCAAAGTATGCAACTAGCAGACAACAATACTCTTCAAGGGGAGGGTTATGAGGAGTAGTACTGATTTATAAAACTTGGAGCAATGCCTCCCAAAACAGGCTTTTTGAAGGAGCTCTTCACTGAGATACTTTGTGAAACTTTAAATTCCAGTAGTAGTATTACAATTCATAGAAACAACTGCACAGCATGTGGTATTACTAAACATTTTGATTGGTACTGCCAAACTCTGCGACCTGTGAGACAACAGAAAACACAGGTACTCTGTACTATACACCCCAGGGTAGAATTTTTCTACTTGGGCTTTAGAAAGCTTGCCAAGTTACTCAAACCTTGGGCATTTATACACATGCTCTGGGAGGGATGGAAGAGTAGCGCTTTAATTAAAGTGGCTCTGAGAGCTACTCTAATTAAAGCAGCTGGAGCACCTCCTGTATCAGCATCCCCATGCTTCAAAATGGCCAGGGGGCACTTATTTAAAGCTTGCTCAAGGAGTTTTAGATAAAAGCACAAGCGCACAGATACTAAAACACAAGACGTGGGATACCATCAGTTCAGTCTGCTCTGAAGTGCTGTAATTCCAATGCATTGGAGCAGCTTCTTTGCTTGTGTATAGGCATCTTTATATTTCAGTTTACAGCAATTAAAACACATAAATTACAGGTTAGAGGCCTATGGATTTGGCAATTATTTGGCCTGGAGGGCCACTTAGGAAGTTCTGGTGAGCTATTGTGGGCCAGGTCAGCAACGCCCCTCTCCCCCACCCTGCAACAGGTCACCAAAGCTCCATAAGTGGCTCTTCAGGTCAAATTATTGCCCATCCCTGATTTAGAGGAACCGAACGTTTGCTCACCCTTTCTCCTTGTACCCCTTCCCCACCCCAAATCTCTGGCACATGGCTTGGACAGGCCAGTGCCGCAATGTGTTCCTGTGCCCCACTTCTGGCCACGTGGGTGTGCCTGACCCAGCCATGTGCTGGGGACTTGGGAGGCAGGGGGCAGAATGCAGGGAGAAGGAGGGAAGCACAGCATGGCACTGAACCAGCCAGGCCCAGAAAACCTGTGGCTTTTGGCCACCTGCACCCCTTTCCCTACCCTGCACCCCTTTCCCTACCCTGACATGAAGCCAAGTCGGGCAGGCGCCTTGCCAGCTGTGCCCATGTGGGTCCAAGGTGGTGTGCAGGAACATAGTGTGAACTGGTCTGGCTCGGCTGTGTGCTGGGGACTCAGGGTTGGGGAGGAGATGAGGGGAGAAGGTGGTTGGGCACCACAGGTTGTCTGGGCATGGCCGGGCCAGTGCTACTGTGTTCCCCCCTTCCCCCTGCATCCCCTCTACCACCCTGAGCCCCAACATGCAGCTGAGCCAGTGCCACATTGTGTTCTCATGCGTTGCCTTCAATCATGTGGGCACAGCTGGCACAGCTCCTACCCAACCTGGGGATTTGTGCCAGGGACTTAGGGCTGGACAGGAATCATGCCAGCTGCACCCATGTGGCACAGCCTGAAGCAGCATGCAGGAACACAGCATGGCATAAGGTTAGTGGAGCCCACACCCCTAACACGTGCCGGCTCAGCATAGCATGGATAACCCCTGGCTCCTGGCCTTCTTCACCCTGCACCCCATCCCCTGCCAGTGGAGAGAACCTTACCTGAGCTTCAACTTACTGGGGGCTGGGCTGTGTGGTCTGCAAATGGCTGCAGGGCTGGAGCTGCATGCAGACAGCCTTGCTGGGCAGAAGCCTGGCTAGAAGCCCAGTGTTCCCTGACTTGAAGCATACACTGAGGGTTGTGGGGTGGGGCAGGGGAGGCTAGACTGGGAAGGGGAGTGCCTGCTGCTGCTGCAGCCAGCTATGGCTCACAGAAGAGAGAAGGGCAAGAGGTGCTGAAAGCCAGGGCAGCCGCAGGCTGGATACAATTCTCCTTCAGAGGAGTGGCTGCAGGCTGGATAGAATCATTTGGAGGGCTGAATCTGGGCCATGGGCCATATTTTGCCCACCCATGATGTAGCCCATTTCCCATATTGATGAGGAATAGGACAGTACCATTCCCCACACTGAGATTTCAATTTAAGAACCTGATTATATTTATAATTCAGAAAGTCTGTGAACCCTTATCTGCTCAGACATGATAAAATCATGTCACAACATACAGCTAGCTTTTTTATATAACCTTGTAGTTAAAATCTTAAATCTGAATTTAAGCCATGTGTCAATCACAGACTAAATAAAACAAAAGCCAAAACTCATTTTGATTTTAGTTTGATTTGTTTTTACTTCTCATAAAAAGATGTCAAAGCAATGAATATACCAAATCAACTACTCTGGATAGAAAAATATTTGCCAATTATTAGATCTTAGATTACATGTATGCTTAAGATTGCAGACACAGAAAAGATGCGTGTGTACAGATGCCTCGTAAATCTCACCATTAGGTTGTCTATAATTTTTATGTTTAGCCAAATAATAAGTTTAAAAAAACAACAAATATTTTTCTTTTTTTTTCCCCAAATGATTTTGTCAAGGAGCAATCATGTATCCAGGCACTAAAAACAGCAGAATTCTAAGTTCACCTTCCCAGAAACAGTTACAAAGAATACAATAAGAGTCATTTCATAAGCCATATCCTGCACTAGATATATAGAAAAAATATCTTATTTTTAGTTATAGCTGCTATTATTCTGACTGTCTAAAGTTAAAAGTTAAGTTAAAAAATACTTCACATTTTAACCATACTACTATTATGCAATGTTCAGTCAGTGTTTAATCAAAAAGGAAGAGAACACACACTTAACTTTTCAAGAGTTTACAAGATTTCCAGGGTAAATCAATCACAATAGATGTATTCATACCACCAGAAATCTCATCCAGGTCTAGTATTATTTACTTCTGCTATACAGAGAAGCTAAGAGCTACTACTATTACTCTTCAAAGGACATTTCTGCTTTCTGGCAAAACTCAAGACTTTAGTTTACCCATAAAAAGTCTAAGTATGAGTGAATTCTACTCTCTTATTTTCTCTGTAAGATGCTGTATCTTTGACTGTATGTTTGAACTGCCTTTATAGACCCAAATTAATTACAATTTTAAATAAAAACAGAAAATAAGAACACGATACCATCTAACATTTAGTTTTTGATTCAGGAGATTGTTTCTCCAAGTACTGCTATGATCAACAGAACAGGGTCGAAGTTGAGTAATCTCCTTACAAAAGGGCTAATGGAAATAATACGAGTTGCAATTAAATATTTTATTACATTACGCTCAGATACTAGAAACCTTTTAATTAGTCCTGTGAGGCT